AGAATTTCAAGAACTTTTTCAAACAGAAAATCGTCTGCTTAATTCAGTGGATGCAGGAAAACAGAAGATACACGGCAAAACTAAAATGATTTATTACCGCTTAGGAAACATCTATACTGTCCATCATCAGATCATACACTTAGTTAAAATAATATCAATCCGCATAGTATGGCGGACCTGGCAAGCCTACGCCTGTGATCTCTTGAGCTGGAAAAGAAGAGTTCACACCAAAGGATATTTCTAACTGTGGCGTTTCGGACGTCGTTGAGTTTCCTCACTCCTTTATACAGTAAAAGTAGATGCGTTAATAGACCTTCAGACAGACTGCTTCTTACTATAGCTAAGCAGCTTCTTCATCACCAAAAAACAGTCCAGCTCCCCGATTAAGGCGTTCGTGGGGCGGATCAGTGTGTTAATTTCGACGTCCTGACTGCCAAAACCCATGAATAATACCCCGAGACATTTAAATTTCTCTATCCGCTCCAGCCGCATGCCACTTACAAATGAGGAAATAAACTTGAGGTTGGTCTGACTGATTTTAACTCCGGCCTCATTCACAGAGCAGTAAAGCGATAAAATGCATGTTATAGATCAATCGACGAAGCGGGCATGCTGAGATTATTCGCAGACAACTACGCCTGTTCATCCAATCCATAACAATCACGAACAGAAAAAAAAGACAATACTCAACCTTGACGGTGCCCAACGTACTCCTTAAAAAGCATCGTCTTAGATCAGATTAAGTTTACTGCTTGAACAGGATCGTTAATGAGTTTTATTTTTAGCATAACAAAACAGTTACACAATCGGGTTGAGCAAACTAACACAACATAAAAATTAAGTATCGCAGAAAAAGCAAAAAAATCTGACAGATATGAAAGAATGAAAGAACATCGTAGTGTATCATGTACAAGACCATATGATTATGAACTACTACAGGTTGAGCTTGATCAAGTAGTTCTGTTTGACAGCTTCAAGATCTAGGAGATCGATATGACGTCACGATCTTCGTCTTCCTTAAGAGCTCTGTCCTCGCTGAAATGGTTCACATACATAGAGCACATCTTCATGGCATTAATTGGAACACAGGCCTCTAAGTGGTCACGTCTCTGCAGATCTGACGGCGCACAGTAGCTTACAACCTATCCACATCTCTATAATACTCTCCATAGCTTCGATCTGGCTGCCCTTGAAGAAAATTTTAAAGGCTTCATGTCATGAGGAAGTTTCCCCGACAGCTACTACGGGCAGTATGTCCGCTTTCTATACGTACACTAGCGTCAACTTTTGATTTTTCTCGACATTTCCGACAGCAAACTGGTTTTATACTAACCAATGACTTGGGCTTTTCTGACAGGTAACGAAGATGAACAATGCTGATCTAAATTCAAGAAAGGGAAAACTGTCAATCGCTTTCTTCATCACGTTGAATGAGAAACCCACGGGTCTGGTAGGTCAAGCAGCATAACAACAGTTTACCATAAACACGTTTGCGCAAACGCCGTGGTCAAAGCACATTCTGAATGGTACAAAAATCCCCCAACCCCCCTGTCGACTGAGCTTATGGCCGATTTTCGTATTCTATGATTTAACTAAACGGAGTCAAGTTAATCCTTTAGGTCCGAGTGCCAGTAGTACTTTGATGGGAGGTTTCCTACACACCGAATTTTATGTTCCATTCTACCTGAGGCTTCTCCATTTCTCCAGATTAAATTCTTCTTCGTTCTCCAAAAATATACAACAATCGCTTGCAAATCTGTTAATGATCATTTATTTTGCATGTAAGTACGCTAAGATTTGCGTTCAATTCACGGCTGTTACAATTACGAGACAAAATTTATTTTGTACAGTGGCAAGAGATAGACAGGTATGTCGATCGTCGACATCAGAAATAACAATGGTATACAAGGAAAAGAGAACGACGCAGAAAGCAAGAGGCGTGGGATGCAAAAAAGGCTGTCAGTTTTAGACAGCAATCAGAAAGCTGCTGCCAAAGAAGAGGACGACGAAGCAGATTTCATGCCTCTGCACGCAACTCTGCTAAACATAATTCGTCAGTTGGCTGAATCACACGTTGGCAAAAGAGAAAAACATAAAAGTGCCGCCGATGTCGCGCCGGCATCGGCGGCGCAGGCGATAGCTTTAACGATGTAAACATGCTAAATATTTCACTTCACACGCTGTAGTATACAACGAAGCCAAAAAACAATTCACATAAACAAACCGACTTACGATTTGTGCCGATGTCATGACACGTGAGAAAAATGGTTTTGCCCTGCCGATCCTCTAAATTGCCCTATAAATAAAACATTTTCAAATCTTAGCAAAGCAAATGGCAAACAAACAAAGCAAAGAAAAACTGCTTAAGACGTCTGCAATTACCTTAAACGATCCGCATTGAAAATATATATTTTTGGCGGAAAGCTTAAGCAATTAGCAATTAGATTCTAAACCCTTCGACAGGCGCATTACACCTGTTTACGCAGAAACGAGCAGGTGAAGGGCACTGGAAGGGGAAGGTCCAAACCAGCTGCAATAATAATAAATCAGCTGTCGTCATACTAGCCTCAATGGCGCTGCGGCATCGATCTTAATTTTAAACGTTCATGTCACTTTAGCGGACGAAATGACTGTCATGTCAAATGTCACCAATCAATTTGCTCAAGGCGACAAACAACACATGTGACTTCTACCGCTCCGGCAACAACCGCTGTTCAAACGCTGTCCTACTCGTCGCACACGTCAACACCACAACAACACTTCGACATCAACGTCAGATCCAAATCAGATCCGAATTTCAGATCAGTGATTAAATTACGTTATCCGGTAAAACACAAACAGCACCCAAATTACACCTCAAAAATCATACAGTACGCTTTATTCTATCATTAGCAATATAGTTCTATTACTGCTGCCGCTCACTTTTCCGACATCTACTCATTAATCATGCAGTAGTCAGAAAAAGAATGAGATGGGAGATCTTGCTACAGTACAGCAACGAAAATTTTGAACCACTATTTCTAATTACCACTTATGTAACTCACGATTAATTTTTAGTTAAACAGTGTAAATATATTTACCTGAATAAACACCTTCACAGCGCCACAAGACGGCGTCACGATTTCTTGCATCTAAACAACAAAACTATAGTTACAGAATAAGCAAAACCTATTAAATTAAATGATCCTAATCGGGTTATTTGCTAAACATGAATTCACTATGGCAGAAATTACCTTAATATCGTAAGTCGTATTTTCCATCGTCGGGAGTAATCAGCTATGAAAGCGGCAACTAACACTACCGGCTTACTTCTGATCAGTAGGTACCTGCAATATCTAGAGCTTCAAGTAGTACTACTGTATCAAAAGCAACTGAAGCGAAACTGTGATAGATGTATCTCCCAAAAATTTCAGTAGAAGTTACTTTTGAAATAAAATGCATAAATCATTATAAATCTGTTAATTAACGTTCTAGCCAGAAAGTGATAAAGTTTGTAAACCACTGTACGACTGAGGAAAACTCGATGGCTTCTGGGCAAAGGCGGGCTTCCTGAAGGCATATATAGGTTCTCTACCACACTGTATACAGCTTATCAACGTGGAAGTAGGAATGCAATGGAAATTGAAAGAAAACCTTTATAGAGGACATGAAACAACTGAGCGAATAAAAAATTCAGTCATAGCAAAAACTTGAAATGCGAGTGTAGCCAAACCAGAACTAGCATTTTTAAAAGCAGATAAATTCAGTAGAATATAGAAAACAATGTGAAATAAAACTTTCGGAAAAAGACGCCAATTTCGGCAAGAAAAATTCAACTCTCCAGCTCTAGATTCATTCATTTACGTGGCTTCTATGCAAACTTCACAGACAAGAAACAGTCACATCGCTTGTAAATAATTGTTTTGCACATTGCCGTTTAAAATTTGTGGAAATAAATCATGCAGCAGCCTTAAAAATAATCCTAATCTCTATGAATCCCTTTTAAATATCAAGGTGCACAATATCAATTAACAGCCAAACGGTGTTTTTAACGTACAAGAAGCGATACAATAGCGATTTCTTCTTTACCACAGAATGCATATTGCATAAGCAATCTGTGTTTTACGTTATTTTTTCAGTATGAAAACAAACGCACGAACCAATTACTCTCTCTGACTCTTAGAACAGATATTAATATTATATTTGCGAAAACGAAAAGTTAAAATATAAATTAAAACTTGAGCCAAATTAAATATTAAATTTTTGCAAAATCTTGCAATGCGTATCACGTTTCAGTAAGACTATCAGCGGCTATACGGCGGTATCGTCCATGGTTACCAATTTTCAAAGCAACAATCGTAAATTGAATGCAACCAAGCTATTTGAGACTCAGTATGTGCAGTAACAAAGGCAGCAGTGTTCATAGCTGACTGTGATGATTTCACGATGATTATTTTACTATACTTTCAGCAATGAAATGGCTCAAAGAAAATTTTTTCTTCTGTGAAGCTCTTATCAGATAGTATAACTTCATCTATCGCTTATCCTGAATCTAATGCGCCAGAACATCGTTCTGCCAATGTTATTTGTCAGTTTACGATTTGGTGCTAGTTTCGCCACTCGCTGCAAGAAACAACTTGTAGAAGCAAGTCAAGAAAATTAGCGATTAATGGCTTGTTCAGAGCAGCGGAAGGGTGCATGAGCATATATTTCATCTGTTAAACATGAAAATCAGCTTTTTCGTTATACAGCGAATTTTCTGTATGCATAAATACAAACAAACGATGTTTCGAAACAGCATAATATTACCGCCCGTTGCAGATTACGCCTGTAACTATTTTGCTCAATATTCCATCAGCTATTCCTAGCTTTTCGGAAGGCCATCTAATTGGGTCATAGTTCGTTTAATTTTAGCATTCTCTAGTTTGAAAAACAACTTGTCGAACTTCGACTGTGTTTAGATAACGGGTAGAGAAACGTCATTGGTAACGAAAAAAATGTAGTTGTAGCCAGTAAATAAATGCGAGATCCAACTGATCTATTAATCATTATCACGATGATGACGCTTGTGCACGGCATCGAAGCATGTCTGTAAATAAATGATTTTGTTTCCCTCGTTTTATTCGCTATCTCTAATCATTGATCGCAAAGCGAAGATCAGTGATCGTTATTCCACAGACATCGAATCGATGCATCTTTCCGTACCTATTTCAGGAATTCGGTTAAACTGCCACGATTTGAAATGCAGTTAACTTTTTCATTTAATGGCTTAAACCTTGTGCTGATTTTTAGTCAGGTTCCAGATGAGTCAAAAAATGTTAGTCGCAACGCACGCTCATCAAGGAAAATCGTCGTAAGCGTTACAGATTCTGGATGTCCGTATAGTTTGTCGATCACTGATTTGCCACCCATCTTTAACTAAGTGTATTACAGCGCAGGATGTGAATTCTTTGCTCATGTAAATTAACAGTAAATAAGATAAATTTACGCTGCGCATGGACTTAAGCCTATCACGTCTAAAATGCAAAGCTAGCTAATTACTTAATGTATCGCTGAATGCCATACGTTGCGCTATTGTGGAAAATGCATGGTAATATATACTCGTAATTAGCGTCGGTGAAAGGCATTAAATCTAAACAGGTTATGGTAATATTTATAGTCAACAAAATGGTATGCTTCTAATGCACTTCTGTTACGCGGCAATACACCGTGACTACGAAACTGGACAGGAGGATTGGAGAAACCGCTCAGGCTAACAGTCAAATAATTCATAGCGGAGTCCTTTACATGATCAGTGTACTAACGGAGCAAGACAAGCAAAAGACATAAGCAAATTATACAATAAATGAAGAGAAAATGGTTTGCGGTAAGGAAAAGATTTGGAAACTCAACAGAGTTTCGTGTTGTCATGTTTATGGCGTCTGATGATGGCCCTTTACATTAATAGCCGCTGCATTGCATAAACAAACAAATCCTGGTTTGGCCAATTATCAGACTTGCAGATTTGTTATTCTTCTAAGCTGAAAACGATATTTGTTACCGCACTGTCATATCAGCTTGAACGCAAAGTTTAATGATATTTCATCTTACTTGAGATGCTTGAGGTATAGACGCGAGCGGTTTATTAGTGCACTTCGCCTTGAATATTATTTACCAGTTAAGGAATCTCGCGAGTTCATGGACGTTAAACAGGCATCTAGTCCACAATTCTAACCTTGACCCTCCCCTCGCGTGACCCTGTCTGAATGAACTAATGATCGTGCAGCGAAGTTCGCAGATACCGAATGATTCAGAGACTTCGCTGAAATTCCTTCCGACTCAACAAGTCTTTAGGAATCCTACTTGTTAAATTCAATATTTCAAAACAATTCTCCACGCCGTGACAGATTTTTCACATAATTAGAATATTTTATGCACAGGTATCAGACAGTGTTCAGGATAATATGGCATTTGTTAAAGGAAAATATCACAGGGATGAACAAATATTTAATGCTACGTTTTGAACTGTTAAGCACGTTCCTGTTTAACATTAAGTGATTTGAACTTCCTGTTGTACTTTGAAAACTAGTGAACTTGTGCGGCTGGTTATAAGATGAATTACTTTGTTAGGTTGTCCTCCTGCATTTTATTTGCAGAAACAACATTCAAAATTGTCACAAAATCCATGAAGACATGCAAAATACACGTAACAGTCGGTTTTGAAAACAAATACTAACTGAAGACATGGTCGAAATTTTTGTTGCATGGTGATGCGATCAAACTTATGTCTGACTGTCCTGCCATCATTATAATTTCGACTATTTCCAATGGCGGCGAAAAAAGTATTTAAAAGTGAAACATAAACATTGTCAATTTGACATTTAATATTTTAATTTTTATCAAGAAATAACTTGAAAATTTTTCTGTGCATTTAAGTCAAATGCACTTTTTAACCTCCTAATATTCGATTTTTCCATTACTCGAAATGGATAATTTCTCTGAGTTTTTAAGGTATGTTCGAAGCCAAAATCGAATTCAGGATTGCACCTTGTGGGGATTATTACACTAGATGGTCAACAGTCAAGTGAGACCAAGACGAGCTGCTACCACAAGGGCGCTCGCATAGCATAGGAGAGCCGAACACCTCGTCCATTCTGTCTCGATCAGACCAAAATATAATCTTGTCCTAATTACCT